TTTTTACAACAATGTAAAATCAAGGTAGTTCATCTAATAGAACGTTACCACTGTACATTTTCCAAACAACAGCACTAAGTTTACGCCAAAAGCTATTAGTATATTGTCACTCTTGATTACTTACATAAAATCGCTTTGTGACAAGAAAAACTAAGAGGGTGATTCACGGTACCTAGATGGTTTCCATATTTTTATATAGAAAGGGAGGGAAAACAAATTTACTGCTCACCTAACACAGCGACAGTAGATTCCATGGTCATGTGTAAAACTGGAAAATAGCTGAATTATCAATATACTCAGACTTTGCTGCGGCAATGACTCTTCTAAAGGACCCTAAGACATAGTTGCACTTCTTTTTGAATGCGCTAGTTTTTGCTTTAGGGGACGCCGATAAGCCCAAGCCTGGTTACTCTGCAAAATAGCATAATACATAAACACTCACGCCTGTCACCCAGAGGGGTAAGCAGAGACTACGGACTCCCATTTGGCACGATCCTGACACACCTCTCTCGCCCCTTTTACATCCATATATCTACGCATACACGCTCGTTGGTTAAGGGTACTCCTAATGTGGCCCATTTTCAAAATATCGCCAATTTGGTCGATAAACCTTTGTCTAGAGCAGCAACGGTATAGTCGGGAAGGCACTTCCCGACTATGCCGTTCACATCTGCAATATAAATTTGCTTTGTCACTCTTTCCTCGTTCATTCTTTCTACATGCCCAAACCACCGAAGCATTCCTTTACTAATCCTGGTCACAACATCATATTGCATACCACATTTTTATCTTATCACGCAATTTCTGTAGTTAGGTAGTACCACTTCTGGTTCACTGAGTCAGACTGCATATTCTTCTCGTTTTCTTCTCCACTCAATGTTGTAGTTTTGTTATTCAATGATGTGTTCTGTATACGTATACCACACTCATTTCTTCCTTCTGCTCTTGTCTTCCTGTAATTTAAGTAAACAAAATCACATTCACTAATGATCAGCTAATGACTGTCATTATTAAAAAAGTATTTTTTAACTTTTTTCATTTTCTGCTATTGTCTTTGTAATATTGTATACGAATTGTTGTATGTGTGTATTGTTTGTGTTGTCGTAGATGCTATCCTTATTAGTCTTTACGTAATATTTAATCCTCGTGGAAGCATGTTTCCAATGATCAGTAGTTGGAATCTTGGATAGTTTCTTCATATCGTACATTTTAATTTTGATGAGATGCGTCGCTTGGTCTCCGTCGTCAGAATTAGTAGAAATGTATGACACCATCTCTAGCTTCATGATGTTGATGTTGATGATAACAGATTCCTCCTTTTTATTTTTGATTCAGCTTCAAAAAAATGATCAATCGATTGCGATTTTCTTTTTCCACCATCGCATGTGTTATTATTAATGACGATGTCGTCACTCTCTTCTTGAGGGGAGAGTGGCGAGTAGTAATACTGTTTATAGGTATTTTCATCGAAGCTCAATGATTTCTGTAACAACACAGTTATCATGTTAATATCAATTTGTTAACACTTAATTATAAAAGTTAAAGTTACAGCCTATTAAAGTCCACTGCTGAACATAGGCCTCTTCTTATTTCTGAGAGGGTTTTAGGACTAGGAAATGTTCGCCGCGCTGCCTCAATGCGTGTTGGCGAACTTCACATGCCTTCAAAATTTTCTCAGACATGCAGGTTTCCTCACGATGTTTTCTTTCACCGCTGAACACGTGGTAAATCAGCACTTAAAATTGCAATTAACAATTTAATTGGTGCCGGCGGGGGATCGAACCCGGATCGCGTACTGTGAAATTTACAGCTTGCTCTAACTATCTGAGCTACCACGGCTTAATCATATACACACATAATATTTAAATATAATTTGTTAACACTAAATCATACACACGTAAGAAAATAACAGAAAGAAAAGTAAATTTGTCAATAGAATAAACACTTACATCCATGGCCTTTGATGCGTTGAAGTAACACAAATGTAGTATTGATAGATCCACTGCGGTCAAACGACCATACACTAACTCTATGACTGCAGCTGCTCGGTCTTATATAGTACCAGTAAGTAATAATTCTAATCTAAAGAATTTCTGCAGTGGAACTGATAGTACGAGTAACTTTATGCATTAACAAGCTTATCTCACACTCTGTTGCTTATCTCAACATTCCTTCGTGTTGCGTCTTGTTCAGTGTATCGATGACTCAACAAAAGAATGCAATTTAATATTTAGAAATCAATATAATTGATGATTCATATGTTAGTCATTGAGTAGATTGGTACTATAATAATCTACTAATAGCAGTAATATCATGAATACACTAGATGTACAACAACATCTGAAAAAGATTCACCCCAGTCTAGAAAATAATGTTTATATTGCTAATAGACTGCCCATGTATACCCACGTACCCACGTATATAATATGCAATTTGGATACAGATGATAAACCAGGGCCACATTGGGTAGCTTTATATATCGATACGAATGACGTCGGTCAATATTTTGATTCATATGGACGGTCACCTGTACGATAACATGAGTTTTTAAAAAGGAATTGTAAAAGATGGAACTGGAATGTTGATAGTATTCAGAATGAGTGGATTTCAGTTTGTGGCGAATATTGCTTAATGTATTTGCTATATAAGTTTCAGGGATGTTCAATGCATAGTTTTACGAGTATATTTACAGAGAACACATTGTACAATGATATTTTAGTGGATGAGATATTTCGCTCCTATTTTATAGACAATAAGTAATAAGATTTTGTATTTTGTAAATAAAAATTGCAACAAAATTAGGTAATGTGTTTTATTGATGATTCAGATTAGCGCTGTAGATAAGAACAAAGAAGTATAATACAATAGCACTGATAAGCCGACGCATACGCCGAGCAAAAATTGACAATGACGGTATTCAATGAACAATAGAAAACAAGGGTAATGACGGTGGAAGCCCTCACCGGCTATCAATTAGATAAGAGTTAATTGATCTGCACATCTCCGGAACCGTGCATCCTACGTAAAACGGAGATTCGTGATCAGAGCATATCAAAACCTTTTTTTTTATTTTTTTTAAGATCGTGAGTCGACGAACGTTGTACCAATTCTGACTTGGTAAGCCAGAATTGGTACTACCTATCTACTAATTTCTCACCCTGTCATTCAGATTCAGCCCTAGCATACTCTTTGAAGACCGCATTTCTACAGCATTTATTCAACTTTCGTGCTTCTTCTGCCACACCCAACTTTCACTACCATACATTAAAGTAGGGAGTAACACAGCATTATGAATTACCATACGTGCCTTTTTTGACACATTCGGACCCTTCATAATATAGTGTAGAGCACCATTCACTCTATATCCTGCATCCACTCGTCGTTCTATATCCTTATCATATCTACCGTCCCTGCTAAATACACATCCCAAATACACGAACTCATCCACTTGCTCAATCAACTCCTCTTCTATTCTTATTTCACATAATGTTTTACTTTCTTCTCTGTCAAAAACCATCTCTTACACATACACTTTCGTCTTACTTGCATTCACTTTCATTCCCCTTTCTTTTAATAACCAGTTCATTAATGTAACCGTCACTTGCGACTCGGCCGCCGACGACGCAAATATGACTTGATCGGCGTACAAAAGGCATTGAACGGTTAACTCGCTCATTCTTAAACCATATTCTTCACCTTTCAAAGTTTGCAAACAAATGTCCATAAATAAGTTGAACAGCTACGAAGAAGCTACACAGCCCTGTCTGACACCTTTTGGGATGCAGAACCAGTCCGAGTAGACCCCGTTGATGATGACACAAGCACTAAAGTCTCTATAAATAGACCTTAATGCCTGTATCAAACCAGCGCTCAACCCAAATGAGTTCAATGTTTGCCATTGTCCTTTCCACTCTGTCATAAGGCTTTTCCAAGCCCATGAACATACAAAAAACTTTCTGGTTTTTAGCCAACACACAAAATATCATTTAAATAAATAACGAATAACATTAAAAAAATCACAGCTTAAACGGATTTAATTTAAATATTCATTCTAATAACGTATTGCATAGACAATATAACATAATGAAAGTAGTTCAGAACCACCTGAAAACCTTATTTTGTAAATAGTGACTGAACGTTCTCTTGTTTCAAATAGTACTAAAGAACTCTAGAGCAACATAAGTCAATACAAAAGAAAAGAGCATAATATATCACTAAAAGCCGAACGACCATTGAGAGTAGAGATAAACATTCATGACGGCCTTTAACCAGACGAGCTCTTAACTCCCAAAAGTTGAAGTGTGGGCCCAAGGGTACTAAACAAGAATAAACATTGAAATGAATATTTATTTTTGCTATATACTGCTTAATATCATATTGTTTTGAACGCAAAGTATATTTTCATTGTTTTTTTACGCATAAAACAAACACAGGTGTTCGTCAACTTGACAAACGAGGACGCAGTCCTACTGATGGTAAGTGAATGCTGAGGCCTCCAGGCTCCTACATCTATCCGCAATTAAGAATGTAGATGCGTTGTTACCCCTAAGAAATAAGTTAGAATGTCTCGTTACCAGAAAAAGTAGCCTCCAGTTCTACATACTCACCACCCAGTTATAATATGGTTGTGACCCATTCGTGTTACAACCATAATATAGCTGAAGCATGATTCTACCACGTATGAGGTCAAAACAAATAACGAATGAGAAATAAAAATTGCAAGTATAAACTATAAGTGGAGGAACAAAACTAATTAAAACGAACTCGAATCCTTCACTATTGATGATTAATTAACAAATTTTTCAAAAACTGTTCCAGTTGGTACAATCTAGAATATGCAATGCCATGATATAAAAATAGTAATATTTAATTGCTTGTTACAGGTAACACTATCAATATCGATCCTGATTAGCCTACACGTGTTTTTCTTGCTGGTGGTTGAGATCATACCTCCAACGTCGCTGGTTGTGCCACTGTTGGGCAAATATCTCATATTTGCAATGATACTTGTGTCTATCAGGTACGTACTAAGTTAAGTAAGCATTTATTATGTATGAAAATAACGTAATATTTTAAAACAACTTAAGAACTAAGAGAATAGAAAAAACATTTTCCCGTCTATAGTATTTATTTATTAATTAGATATTTGCTTAAAACATGGACAGATAAGGATGGTACAATGCTTAAAACATGTTTTGCTATGTGATTGTAAATAGCATGCAAATTAACATAGAAAGCACATACAATTGAAATTTTCCTAGACAAATCTAATTAAATACAATACAATCAGACTAAAACAAATAAAATTATAGATAAAATAAAGATATACATTTAATAAATAGCTACTATAATAAATAGCTAAAATGGCAAGGGGAAACGGATAATAAAACGTTAGCAAAAAATGTTATCTGTGTGTATTTTAAAATTAAAATTCCCAAGGCAGAACTGAAAGATTATAGCATTACCATAATTTCATTTTATGTAATTATTATACATTATTTCCACTTTCATATCTAAATTTAAGTGCAGTAATATTCCAATAATAATTAAAATAAGTATGGCCAGTGGCGTAGCTACTTAGGGCTAGGCGTGGCAATGCCCCGGGGCGTCCCTCGGCCTCCGTGAACAACGTTCTAAAAAGTCATATGTATAATATTTTAGTTGAGAAAAAAGAATTCGACATTTAACTCTTTGGCTCCTTACCAACTAACCTCGAACGGCTCGACCTGAAATCACAAAAAAAATCGTCAAAATAAAGTCGTTTACGTCGTTATATTGCCTAAGTACCTATACATACTGTATTCTAAACTGTAATATAACTCGTCCTTGTTTATTTTCACCAGCTTCTGCCGGTGACTTCTCGTTCACCTGATATGGACTAACGTTGATAATAATTATCACACAGGATCCTTTTATCGGAATGAAACGGTGACGACGGGATGAAACGGTGTGCTAAATTTCATCCAAACCCATACAGTGGTTTTTAAGTGAAAGCCTAACAAATAAACAAACTTTCACATTTATATTACTAGCAACTCGCCCCGGCTTTGCACGGGTTCAATTTATATGTGGTATCATATATGTTTGAAAAATCACTGTTCGATCGATTTAGATTGTCACTTTGGCATTGATTCACTTTGTAACGAAAAATGCGCTAAGTAAGAAAGTATTTTATTGTGTATTATCGTGAAACATAGATTTAAGTTTGTCCACAGCTTACAGATTTAACAACTTTGGGTAATTTAGTTTTATCATAACTGTCAGTTATTACTAGGCACTACTTCTACTTTTCGTACTATTCAAAACTTTATTAAAATTTGTACATAATAACTAAAAAAAACTAAATGACAGTGAAATTCGTGTCAAAATCCGTTGCGTGGTTGTGTAGATAAAAAGTTTCATACAAACTGTAACACCCTATTTCACCCCCTTAGAGGTTGAATTTTTCTAAATTATTTCTTCTACGTGTAGCGGCTTGGGCTGTGCGTTGATAGGTGAGTCAGTCACTCAGGATATCCTCTTTTAAATGTATAGATTAGGAAGTACGACTAAATATTATCTGCTGCGTTACACATACTACTTAGTAGTAAGTAGCTGTGCGCCCTGCAGTGGGCGATAAGGAGTTGGTGATGAAGTAGTTTTGCACCTTTAAATTATTTAGTTTACTTCCAATGGGGCCCATTTTCATTTTTGCCCGGGGCCCTTGGTTACATAGCTATGCCACTCAGTATGACTTCCCTTAACTGTGTCAAAATACGAAGGCAACTGTCAAGTTATATCAGCGACCGTAGGTTGAAGAGGGAGTTGAGTGAAGAAGATCTCATCGCAGGGGTGTTGCCATCCACGACCTTTTCTTTTCCTTGCCTTTTCACACAGCAGGATAGCTACTAAGAAATTTATACCAGTGTGTAATTAATAAATAAGTTAACTTTTTGTTCTACCGCTAGGGGCTCGATACACCTTATGAAATAACCGCCAATTATGGCAGATTAGACGTTTAACAAATTCGGTTTTAACACCTAAGTTTACAATTTACTTTCATGATTTTAAGATTTAACGACTATTGATATTGGATAAAACTATATTTACGGAATTTATGGCGTTTACTAACTTATTTTAACCTATTTTTAATTCTCGATCTTTCGGGCACTTTACAGCATCCATAGTTTTATTCAACGTGTAGTGCTCGCGTAAATTTAAGAAATAACTATTGATATTTTAAATATTGGCCCCCACAAAAGTAACAGATTTTTTGATGTCATGGTTATATGCTCTCCGTTTTTAGCTTTATGCCATTGTTTCATTAAACTTTTTCTAGCTAGGAAAGCAATTTAAATACTTGTGCCTAACTCCCACCTATTTACAAACCGCGAAATTTCCTGTCATTTCCATATAAATTAAAAACCGTTTTCCAAATAAGATTGTTGATACCGGTTACTTGAAATCACTAGTACAATTAAAATAACGTTAAGTTTTTTTTTTTGTTGGAATAAATAACATGCTAAAACATATTACCAATAAGCTTAACTATCATACTTTTAAATTAGATACGGTCGTATTTAAATAAGATATAGAAAAAGTTAACATACAAATTTTGTACATGTATTTATTTAGTTTAAAAAAATATATCATATAGTTTAAAGAAATAAATACGAGTGCTTTATTAATTTTCGCAAACAAATTCTAGCAAGTTAGCTTCTCCCATTTCCATTGTGGCAACGAAAAAAGTCCATAAAACTCCGCTCAAAGACTCCGCTGCTCCCATAGCAGGGAGGATTGTGATCGCCACGCTTGACGGATTGGCGATAGATCGAAATTTCTGTACATCGCGCATCTTTGACATACACCACAAATGCACTAACTTTGACAAAAATTGACGACTGATAAATTAATTTTATTAAATTGTTTTGACCCTGCCTGTTAAACTAAAGGTTACCAAACCAAATATTCGTGTACCCTACTAAACGTGACAAGCATTTGTGTATTAGACCCTTCAGCCGCTCACGTAACTGAAGACAACAATGTTTATACAGTTGTTGATTATATAGCTGTAATTTAAGTGACATTATGATTATGTGTATAGTATATATGTTTGTTGATTTTTACTTACTATATTACCGAAAAGGTTAAGGATTAAAAAAACGAGTACACTAAATTTTATCAATTAATATATTTTCTACAACATATAAACACAAAAAAAAACAAGAAAAAGATGGTGTAAAACAGGCAATCTTATCGATCTGAAAGCCGGATAAAAGCAATTTGATCCATGCAACCTTTTACTTTATTATTTATTATACCTTTTACTATATTTCTGATATAAATACATACCTAAGAGAATATTTTTATATTTTATACACATGAACTCAACCAACTTTTAAAGAACAACACTGCTTTTGGACTTTTTTTCTGTAAATTAACGTAATTATCTTCCTTACGTTGAGATAAACTCATTACGTTAACAGTAAATGAGGTTAGAAGCAAGATAAGGCCACATTAATCGCCTTGTACCGTTATTAGCTCAACCACAGCGCGGGTAAATAACAAAACTGCTTATTCAGGGTCGTACCGCCCTCTCTCTGCAACCAATCTCCTTACCCGCGCCTCACCCTTGCAGATCACGCGATAAATTTTGATTAATTACTATCTTAATTAAAAGTTTCTGTCTGATCATTCTAACCTACTCATTCTCTTAATTAAATTCTTTAGTACCTGTGCGACTTTGCTGTGTTAGAAAAAATATAATTTTTACAGTGATTACACGTATCTTAAAAATTATTACTTAAGCAAATTTTCATATAATATATGTCTCTAACAAATTGTTAGAGACATATATTATATATATATAATTGATTTTCTTTCTTTTTTATTAAAAAATATATGTGGATTTAATTGTATATCAATAAACAATGATCTGTAAAAATACTGTAATCAAACATTTTTCAACAAAATTTTTGCCATGATGGTTAAAAAGTACGCATAGCAACATAAAATGTACATAGCTTCGCAAAAAAATCGTTTTATTAATGTATTAATTTTCTTATCTCGCTATTAAGTAATTTATTTTATCCCGCTAATATGACCGTGTGCGCTAGAATACTAATGAACAAAAATAAAAAAATGTAAATTAATATTAAAAACATAGACTTAGTGTAAACTGACGATGTATATACTATGTCTATGATTAAAAATCTATAATTATTGTAACTTCAGTTAGGGAAACAAAAATACATTAAATTGATCAAGAATAATAGATTCGACTTCAGTAGCTATGTGAAGCTTTACTTTTTTTAGTTTTTTGAAGTCAGCGTTTACTTTTACTTTTTACTTTTATTTAAAATTTAATTTTTTGGTCCTCTTGAGTAGACTAACGTATATCACGAGGTTAAAATAAATACATTATTGCATAAATAGTTAAATTAGGAATTTCACCCGCTATTTCCCCAAACTTAGGGATAAAAATGTTTCAGTAAATTTATATGGGACTGCCCCTGAATAATATAAACCCTATTTAATAAGTGAGGAATTTGTGATATTATCGATACACAATAATTAATAAAGATATCTCGTTACATACAAGAAATAAATAAATAAATTTATATATATGTATGTATATGTATATATATATATATATATATATATATATATATATATATATATGTATATATATGTTTATGTGTGTGTGTGTGTGTGTGTTTGAATGTGTGCATGTAATGTAAAACCGTGTAGTGGCAGTGATATCCACTAAACCATTTGGTCCCGTGGTAAAAGGCGCTTATTTTATGTCAGATGCACCAAAAGAGATTCGCTTTTTCCCCAATTCACAATTGCCGTTTCACAATTTTCTACTGAAATAGTTTTTATCATAGTAAAGAAAACGTTTCTTGTTACGATTCCCTTCGGTGCTATCATCGGCATCGTGACCTGAAATCACATCCGTCTGTCACAGAGTTAGCAACCTTTGGAATAATTATATTCTGGAAAGGAGACAATGTTTAGTTAAAAGTGACAAAGTCTAATTTTAAGCTCCCAGGCTAGAGATTCAATGACACTCTGAACAAGACAGCAAAGTAATTGAATGTGTGATGATGAAAAAGTGAACAGTTTTTTTTTAATCACATTAATTGTTTACATTATGTTGCAGTATATGTGTAACGGTTGTGGTCCTTAACGTACACTTCCGGTCGCCGCAAACGCACCGGATGGCGCCTTGGGTGAAACGAGTTTTCATTCATATCCTGCCACGACTGCTCTTCATGAAGAGACCGCAATACAAATTCGACGTCACCAGGCAAGACCTTTTAATATTACTAAAAATATTTAAAAAAAGTGTATTTAATTTATTTAAAACAAATTTATTTAACGTATGCCTAAATGACAGCGACATTGTTTTTCAGCTGAAATGTTTCACGAAGATCAACATCTGTATAGTAAAAATGTAAATATTGAATAAAACAAAAAGTAAAAATTTATTAAATGTGTAGTGTTTGCGTAAATATAAGAAATTATCAAAAAATTCAAGTACTGATCAAAAATATTTAGGAAAACGCGATAAAAAGCGCGTAAAAAGCGCCAACCTCGTCCTCACTTTTCTATATTGATATAAAATACTATGAGTACCATTATCACACTTTCAGACTTGCTTTTTATATAATTGAATATGGCCGCCAATCTCTGCTGCCTTCACCATATATATATAAAAAGTTTCTTTGTTTTTTCGTATACGTTAAAAGTTTGTAACATTCGTCACAAACATGATGAAACTGTGGTGAGTTCGCGAGCTAGTTGATTGACAAGAGGGCTAATTGTTTTCTCCTCCAAAGGCTTAGAGTCCATTCTATGGAATTCAATGAACGAACGAAGCCCTTGGAAAAGAAAGCGTTGTCAACATTATTGGCACTAACCGGTGAGCAGTAGAGCTATAATAGTAATTTTAGTATTTATATAGTATCTTTAGTTTTTAGCATTTTATTGTGGTAAATATTATATAGGTAAATACTTTTAATATAGTATAAGGGTGGCAAACGAGCACACAGTCCACCTTATGGTAAATGGTTGCTCTGACCCATAGACATCTACATCTATCCTCGATAACGAATCAAAATGCTGACGCGTTGTCACCCATGAGGACTAAGATGGAATGTCTCGTTTTCATTAAAAAGGGTCTCCAATTCTCTACACTCACCAAACGAAACACAGCAACGTTAAGCTGATATTTGACGCTGAGACGCTGAGAGCGTGATCGTGATCCTTTCCTGGTCGAGCCGACTCATTCGTGCTACAACTATACCAGTAATATAGCTACGCATGGTTCTACTACGTAAAAATATTATGCTAATAACATTTTATTAGAGGATTCGTAAAATGTTTTCCTGTTTTACTTGAGTGATAACCATTCAATACAATTTTATTGTTTTAGAAACGCTATTAGATGCATTACAGTAAAGGATATCACGCTTTCTAAGCCAATACTTTTGTACCCTTTGAATATAATCAAACTTTTCAAGCGACAGTAGCCTAATGGCAGAGCGCGGACCGCGAACTCAAAAAGGTCGTGGGTTCGAATCCGCCATTCGACTACTGGCGTGAACCACTCGTAACACAAGCAATTTAGGCTTACCACGAGTGGTTAAGGGGAATATTAGTAATGTTCTATTAATATTCTATTTAAAAAAATTATTTTGTACTATTATTTTATGCTCTTCTCCGCCCCTTTAATGCTTCTTGTTAATTAGTAACATAAACATTGTTTAGTATACTATTACTAGGTAGTAAAACTTCACTGTACGTTTATTGTAGCAAACTTTATAAAGGGTACAGCCATATAGGATCGACTCGACCTGGAAAGGCACAAAATAAAAACTAACGTTTGTATCAATATGGCATAGAATAAAATAGAATATTTTTATTCAATATAGATACACAACAAGAATACTTATGAAAGTAATTTACGCTTTTACCACTGGCTCTGAAAAAACCTCTGTCCTGGGAACAATCAGCAAAAACATCTGGCGAGATTTTATTAAATATTAAATTTGAAAAAAATTAGAAACAGCGTAGTATCGATCACTTCATTCCCAGATGTTACTATCAATCATGTACTCTTTAATATAACAATTTTTATTAAATAATTTTAACTTTATAAAAACTTTAAACTTAGATAAGTCCTGCATATTTTCTGAGAATTTGCTGTAAAAGTGTTAAACATTCGCCCGTATGGGATCTATTGACTTTTGGAGTCGATACTAGCCTTGTTTATTCCTAATATTTACGTAATCACATCACTGTAACTTGGTACTTATACGTGGTAGTGCCATGCTACATATTCATACATAATTGTAGTACGAATGAGTCGGCTTGGCCGGGGCAGGACCACGCTTTTATATAATAATACCTAAAATGGCAGCGTAATGCTGCTGTGTTTCGTATGGTGAGCGTAGAGAACCGGAGACCCTTTTACTGGAATCGATTCCATCTTTGTCCTCAGGGGTGACAATGCATTTGCATCTTGATACTTAATTGAGAATAAATGTAGATGTCTATGGGCCACAGCATCCACTTCCCATCAGGTGGACTATGTTCTCGTTTGTCACCTAATGCTATAAAAAACTACGTTTTCCAAATTAATTGCAAACGTCGTAACTATGGCGAAATCCTCTTGATTGAAAAATTGAAAAAAAAAACAATTGATTGAAGTTCTTTTAAGGCGATTACACTTGAATTTTGTACTGGTAACTTGCGAGCACTACCTACAATTTATCTTTGAGTATACAGTTTCTTTACTTACTTGAATACAGAAGACTTAGCAGTAAGTCTTTTGTAAGTATTTTACTTATAACCAAAGGCTTCTTCTTCTTCAACATTTTTTTATTACTTATTTAATTGAAGTTAAGCAAAACTTAGGATGTCGTTATAAGCTCGGTCGCGAAGACAAGTGTAAATTAATTATAACTTCTCAGTCTTTCACAGGGAAAGTTATCTGCCTACTTAACGCCGTCCCTACGCTAATAACTTTAGTACGAGTATTTACCGACGAGCGATCTTGACGGTGGTTTTAACTTAACTTACTCTTACTCGAACTTTATTTAAGTGAAACCAGAAATGTCAGCGACGTTGGCCACGTGACACAGAGGTGTTAGACAATTGATAACGCTAGTAGAAAACTATAAAAATTAATGATGGTGATATATAACTCAACTCAACGCTAAGTCACACCACATTCATGTGACTTAACGTTAATTTCATTCATAGCCTTATACAGTATTGGCGTTACAGATTGAAAAATTTTAGCAGATATTTTACAATGAAACAAGTAATCAGAATAGTTACTGAATATGAAACATTATATCTATACATTTGGTAGCGTACACACAGTCTTATTATTTAACTTTAGCTAGATAAACAAATATCTAGATCCATTTACAGTTAGGTGCCATATCGTCACTAGGCACTAAGATCTTGTAATCCACTATTCGGATTTCACTACCAGTACTTAGTAGTAGTTTTCTAGCAGTTTATTAGTAGTGTTATGAGCTAAGGGTTCGTGACAAATAAACTACCGATTGAATTACCAAAATTGACGCTTTAATTACCGAACACCAATTAAAACTTAAAACACACTAATAATTAATCACACCTAAAGCCCCATTTACATTCAGCCACTGCCACTGCTCCTCGCGCTGCCGGCAATACTTCCCTAAATACTGCCGTAGCAGGATCGCGGGAAGTGTGTATTCACACTCTGCCCTACCACTCGCATCGCTTTCGGCTTTCGACTATGGCGGACGTCGAAATAATTACAGCGTCCGCGCTGTGTCTTCTTGCAATACAAAATTATGTTAATAATTTAAAAAGATATCAAGTTCAAAAGAAGATAGATAGATAGATAGAAAATTTATTTGCTTAAAAACATGGTACATAAGATGATCAATGACGTGGAACTGACATGTTTTGCCATAATTGGCATGGAAAAATGATATGAAATACAGCTAATTACACAAACCCGATGTTGCTTAAAAGTTAGGTACACACATTCTTTTTGAATTCAAATATTATGTACAATTAAATACTTATACAGATCCACTCTATTTGAATTCTTATACAGTAAATTGTTCATAAATTATTAATTGAATTATTATATTATTGTTACATAAATAATATTAAATATTATATGAGATTAGTTAAGCTATTATTATTTTATTAATTACACTTCAGTATAAACTAATTCGTAATTTTAATTACAATAAAATTATAATTTAAAAATCTCAGGCTATTATGCAAATATTACCTTTTAACTTATTTTACATTTTAATTAATAAATAATCAATATGAGTTACTAATCGTTTTTAGAAATAAAATGTCAATGTTCATTAATTCCTTAAACTAAATTTTATATTAATATAATAAATTTGACGAATTTATAATTAATTATGTACATAGGTACTATGTTAACTCAAAAAGAAAATTCGTATTCGTAGAAGATGATGAATTGTGGTTTTTATCGTTGAAATCCCATATAGTTTTTTCTGATTCCAGCAGTTCTAAAAACTTTATTGTATTTTCATTAATCCACTCGAAAGGCATTTTGGTAGATCGTATTTATTTAATAACAGGACGGCACCGTTCATCCAGGCGCTTGTCGCGAAGTGAGCGATGGAGCTGAATGTGAACACACATTGCCGCTCGCGCTGCCCGTCCTTTGACTTCCGCACGAAAAACCGACATTTCGGGCAGTGTCAGCGGCAGCGGCAGTGTCAGCGCGAGTAGCCTGTTTACATACTGCCCTGCTCACTTCCCTGCCCAAACGGGCTGAATGTAAATGGGGCATAACACTTTAGTTTACAGTTACGTCGGTCCGTACGCGGTTTTTACTGCAGTTCTGCTACTCGATACTAGATGGCGCTAGTGGCATTAATTATGGCGCGTAACAGTAGTTTGCCTTTTAGTGGCAGCTTATGGCAATACACCGCCCCATTTCGTTCCGTAAGTAACGTAAGAGTCGACTATGGAAAAGAAATAGCAGGTGGGCAGCAACATCTTCCTTAAAATAACTCAAAACAAAAAACTGCGGTTGCCAACCCTGCCCAGCGTGGCTACCATAGCAATTATCACCTCTATGGGACAATTAAGGAGACCTATGTACAACAGTAGACTTGAAAGGCTGCAATGAAAAAATATAATTTCTCGTATAACAGAAATCATTATATTCCATAAGGTATTATATGTTAGGTAAAACTTAGCGTATTCTTATCCTCTAGATCTGTCTATTACAAAAAAAATATGTAGATCCAC